AATAAGACTATTAAACATTCTTGTACTAATGAGTTAGTATGTTGTTCAGTTTTTGAGCACTTTGTAAGTGATCAAATAACAGTCTCTATAGCGTTCCTCATCAGGGTTAGTGTACAGCTCACGTCGTTCTCTGCTCACAAGACGCCATTTTCCTGATTTCTCTAGCTCCTCAAACTTGGGGCTGTAACCGAGCTCTACTGGATCGAAGGAGTCCGCACGAATAGAGAAAACAAACAGTCCACCTTCAAAGGAAAAACACAGCTAAATTAGAATGTTAATTCAGTCGAATAAAAACCTTATCTTTTGACTCGAGTGGACTGTTTCCATCGATTTCAATTTGGTGTAGCGTTCAACTTTGAGAATTTCCGGGAAAGCAATTGAATGCAGAATACTCAAGGTCATCCTGAGAATGAAATCCTGTTGAATCACAACAAAAGACCGATGCCAGTGAACCCAAAACGTCCATCCTACGAAAGAAAATGCTTTCAGTAATATTGAAAGTTAAAAAGTAGTATTTTCTGCACTAGCTGTTTTGTGCCATCTCCCTGACTGGGTCTGTCAATTGCCGCGTTCTGTTCTCGTTCAAACGGAACATTCTGCCGCGGCAATATGGTACTGTTCTCAGTTGCTAAATTTCGTTCCTCCTTTGCAGTACACCGTCTCATTTGTTGTGTTCCTAACCTACTTTTCAGGATTTCAGTCCTTGGTATATTACTTCCCCTTCCTTTACAAGGTCTTGGTTATTGTTTCCATCCCCTCCCTTACAAGATCTCAGTCGCTGAGTCCATTCCCACCTTCCTTCTTTTTAAAGGTCTAGCTTCTTGAAATCTTCACCAGCCTTACAGGCCGCTCATTTCTTGTGTCCCACCCCTCCCATGGAAGGTCTGACTAGTGCTGCTCCTTCCCCTCCCCATAGGGTCTAGGTATTGAGTTGTGAGGGATATTGCATCAAAATCTACCAATCATAACCTACTGATATGAACGTGTTTCCTTAGAGATATAAAGATCGATAAGATAACTGACGATCTGATAAACTGTGCTCACCTGGTCTTACATGACGTACGCACTCATCCAGTGCTACAGGCTTCGCTTGCCCATAAACAATGGTCCCTGCACACAACACTACATCATACTCGGCAGTCTTTATTTGCTCTACGCGAATGTCACTCAAAGGAGCACAAATGAGCCGCTTATAAACTTTCTTATTTTCTGCTATGTCTAACATTTTCTGTGAAATATCCAAGCCATCGATGTTTGTGTAGCCTTGTTTAACCAGCATCTCGCCTATAATGCCAGTACCAGCTCCAGCATCAAGGATTTTGATGTTCTTATTTGCATGAGGGAACACATCTTTCGACTGCATAGCTTTGTTAAAAGCCTCTACACATAAGACATGACCTTTGTAACCATGTTTTTCGGTATCCTACGAAAACAAACATGATACAACATCACTTGGCAAAAGACCATTTTAAGCCTGCGTTACAGGCATAGTAAAACAGAGAACGGGAAGGGAGGCAAAAACGCCCTCTTCTATCCCCAGTCTCGTTCTCCTTCCCCTTCTTCCTCATTTTACGCCTGCGCAGCAGGCTAGTCCATTTTACAAGCTTGTTTAGGGGAAGAAACAAAAAATGCCATGTATTGTTTAACAAGTAAAAAAATTAATTAAGAAGTGTTGTTTTGCAAATTGCAATGAGACAAATCATATTTGATCTTCTAACCGTGAGATTGGGTACTGTGATGACTTGGTGAAGACTAGTGAACAGGTCTGATCTTTGATCTTGGACTGACAAATACTGTATGAACTGTAATAGCCGCGAGCTATAAAGGAGGCGATGTCGCTTCTTACTTAATTTTAATATGTAAACAACATGGTGGGAACTACACGCAAAAGATCGCAAAGCATGATGGTTCACATGCTGATTACGTCACCGGAAGTGCATTTGAAGCACATATCATCACATGAACCATATTTGAAGTCGACAATCGTGTAACCATATCTTGCAAGACAGGTTCAGATAGGCTTAGGACAGACACATGTGTACCCTGTCAAGAGCTTTAATTATACATACCCTCATACCCTCCCTCTTATTTTGGCAGAAAACTGATTACAGGTGTATGTCTACTTGTATTAGCTATATCACAATTTAAAGAAAAGCAATGCAATGCGAATTGCAAAGCAATAGAATAGAAAACAATACGATAGAATACAATCCACTAGTACAATATAGTGCATTGCAATATAGTGCACTACAGCCATACAGCACAAAACACAAGACATTATGCAATACAATACAATACAATGCAATGCACTGCAATACAATACAA